GACTAAAAATGTTAGTCCTCAGATCAAGGAGCCTCATCACTGTGCCAAAGAGTCCCCACTTGATGAGTGGTCGTGGTAGCCAGTAGTGGTGGTTGTGGAGGTGATGGCGTAGTAATGGTGGTAGTAGTTGTTGTGGTGGTAGTAGTTGTAGTAGTGTGTGATGGTGGTGTGAGTTGTTAGTTAGTGGTGATGGTGGTAGTAGTAATTGTCAGAAACTCAAAATTAATTTGATAATGTCACATTGCAAACTAAGTCCCATTAACAAAATATTCTGCTGTTAATATTTGAATAAATGTTTAGACAAAACCAACAACACTACTCGGTAATCATAGCTGACTCCATACACACTCAGACAAACTAACACATCTCACAATAGACATCATACCACTACACACTAGACAAACTAACACCACTAACACTAGACAAACTATGGACCTTTCACATACTATCACTTTTTTTTTTTTTTTTTTTTTTTACAGTTGTGGTTATAAAAGTACTCCTGACCATCTCTCACATCATTGGTTGATGTCGCCTCAGCATTGGCGATGAACAATATTTTTTGCACCATAAACGGTTGCTGCTGCACTGCTTCGACAACTCTCTTTTTGAGTCGTTTACATTTCGTTGTGATGTTCATGATTTGTGCAAAAGCGTTTTTTTTTTTTTCCTGAACATGGTCAAGTTTGGTCGCTTCCCTGATTCAGGATTCCATCATTTCTCGTGCAGGACGTTCAGACTTCTTAGTCTGTTTCTTATTTTTTAAGTAATTCAGAAACAAAACTAATGAGTCTCCAAAGGATACACATCCATTGTTGGAGATACCTTGCCTTTAATGCGTATGTCCTGAGCATAGTGTTCACTTGAGAATTGACGCCGATGGATCCTCACATGCTTCGGGCCAGGCCGAAATTATTATGTTGACATGGAAGTTAGAGTCCTCCTCCACATGTTGAACCAATACATTGTCAGCTTTAAGGTCCATGTGTACGAATCATTATCATGAAACCTCCTGGAGGTCTCAGCTAACTTAATCAAAGGCAGATGAGCTTTGTGGGAAGGACTTACAGGTGTAGAAAAATTCGTTGAAATCTGTGTGGTCCACTGTATTTTCCATAACCATGGTGGGTAATCATAGGGCCTGTATCTCAACAGAGGAGCACCTCAGGCACCATCAACGTCATGAAGCCCAAATTCATTTCTTGGCCCCAAATATCTCATGTAGTTTTTCTCATGGATTTTTTTGTGCACAGTTTTTTCTCCGAGTACAGTGACGTGATAGTCTGATCCACTTACTCGCTGCCAAGGCATGTACACCTGGGCTATCATCACTAAGTCTGTAGCTCCTCAATGGACGACGAAGGTAACCTTTTTACCATCCCCATTTTAAAGATGTGATGATGCGGTACTGTCTCGAAGTTGGCTTCTACAACTCAGAAGTTTTACCAAGTCTTCAGCTGCCTCTGCTAAAGTACTTCTGTATAGCTTATTATCTTCTTTAATATAGTTATATTAGAATATTACTCTTCACTTCAGGAAGTTTCACCGAGTCTTCGTTGCCTCTCTAAATTACTTCTGTATAGCTTATTATCTTCTTTATTTTTGTTATATTAGACATATTATCTTGACCTGTAGGATGTTTAACCAAGTCTTCAGCTGCTCTACTAAGTACTTCAGTATGCTTATTTTCTTCTTTAATATTGGTTTTATTAGAATATTACTCTTCACCTGTAGGATGTTAACCAGTCTTCAGCTGCCTCTCTAAAGTACTTCAGTATAGCTTATTATCTTCTTTAATATAGTATACTAGAATATTACTCTTCACCTGTAGGATGTTTACCAAGTCTTACAGCTGCCTCTCTAAAGTACTTCAAGTTAAGATTGTGTCTTTTTAATATAGTTATATTTCAATTGACATAGTGTTTAGTAATGTGTGTCTAATGTAGTGTTTAGTAATGAGAGTCTATGTGTGTTTTGTAGTGGAGAGGTGTGTTTTATTGGGTTAGTAGCGAGTAGTGTGTGGTGTGTTTAGCAGTGTGTGTAGTGGTAGTATTGAGAGTGTGTGTAGTGTTTAGTAGTGAGTGTGGGTGTTGTGCTTAGTAGGGAGAGTCTATGTAGTGTTTAGTAGTGTGTGTCTATAGTGTCATAGATTAAGTGAGTTAATGGAATACTATTACACTGATTATTTTTGTTTTAAATATTTTGTGTCCTGAGCTTTGAGTGAGTCGTGAATATTTTTTATTGTAAGAAGTGTGAATAAATGAGAATGTCCTAATGAAAACACCACTGTTTTGGAAAATAACCAGAAGTGAGACCCTCCTGTATTTCTATTGTATTTTTATAATATACTTTTCTATAAACAAAATGCCAAATAAATGAGGAAGCGACTTAAAATGTCTAATACTCAGATCAAGAGCCTCATCACTGTGCCAAAGAGCCTCCACTTGAAGAGTGGTTGTGGTAGCAGTAGTGGTGTTGATGGCAGTAGTAATGGTGGTAGTAGTTGTTGTGGTGGTAGTAGTTGTAGTAGTGGTGATGGTGGTAGTAGTAGTGGTAGTAATGTTGATATTGGTAGTTTCTGCTACTCTACTCACCACCTTCTTCACTGCTGTATGTGTTTATATTTCCGTAAATGAACCAATAATAACTTTGGCAATAAGGTAAGTAAACCATTAGGTTCTGGGCTGTGTATTTCTGTTGTATTATAATATACTTTCTATAAACAAAATGCCAAATAAACTGAGGAAGCAGACTTAAAGGTCTAATTCCTCAGACCAAGAGCCTCTTCACCGTGCCAAAGAGCCCCCATTGAAGAAGAGTGGTAGTAGTAGTGGTGGTGGGAGTGGTGATAGTTGTAGTAGTGCTGGTAGTGGCAGTAGTAATATTGGTAGTAGTAGTAATGTTGATAGTAGTGATTTCTGCTAATATCCTCAACACCAGCTTCACTACTATAGGTAAGTGTTTATATTTCTGTAAATTAACCCAATTATAACCTTAGAAAAAATTTAGTATTAAGGTAGGAAAAAATCATGGCATCTGTATTTGGAGTTTGTTGGGCATCTCTCAATGATGAGTGTTGCAAAGAATATCTGAATTCCCTTACAGTCTATTCATTGTTGTCAAACATGCTCTTGATATAATTCAACTCTGCGATTACTTCGTCTCTGTAATTTCCTTGTAAGACTGAAAACAAATATACGATGATTCATTCATATCTAGAGACGTCAGTTATTGAGGAAAAATATAATGATTATCTTGCGGCTGAAATCTGGATTTACATTTATTCTTCGGTTGTTATCTCTGTGTGAAATGTCTGAAACTAAATTACTTGGATAAAAGTCACATACGCTAACTTAAAAGTCACATTAACAAAAATATTTCTTCAGTATTTTTAGATAAATAGTTTAGGGAAAAGGACAAAGTTTATGAGATACTTGAGTGACACTTAGGAATCCCTTATTCTGGAAGTGTTTCCACCAAGCAAGTGACTTCATCAGTTCAGTTAGAGAACAGTGGAAGATGAGGAGAGATTGAGTTATTCAGTCTTCAGCCTGGTAGATATAATCATGTTCATCTATATATTGAAACTGATGGACTGATTGCATCGAATCCAGGCTGAGGTACTATTACCCCATCCGTTTTTTTTCACCATTGTTCGTATTGGATGATGAAGTACTGTGTGGTGAAACATTTCCCAAAGATTCCCAAGTGTTGCACCATGTGTTAATTGTCACTAGTCGTTCTCGGAACAATATATATATTTATATCTTAATTATATATATATATATATATTTATATTATATATATCTATAGATATATATCTATATATATATAAACATAAATGTATATAAAATAAAATCCAAAATTATATATTCACCTTACAGCATTATCTAAATTCTTCAGGTTCACTGCCAATAAATATAAAGTTTAAAGAGAGGACTTCGGTTTTAGAAACATTTGAGGTTTGAGTATCAATATCAGTATCTTAGATTTTTATATCACACCACCAGAAGTTTTAAATTTTGTTTGATCCATATACGTCTGTCTTTACAATGTTTGTACATGTCCTTTCCTCATCCATAACAACATTCTGTCACTGTTGGATCAAGCATTGAATTCTTGTTCAGCCGTCTTTGTGCACATCTGCCCTGATTTGTGTGTATTGTTTCTGCACCGAGTTTGTCTTATAATTAGCTCTATTATCTTCGAGAGTGCTTGCGGTCAGGCTTCATTATTTTTAGTGTCTTCATCCTGATACGCTCTAGTTTCAACATTGATAATTTCGATAAGCTCTACAACAATTAAACCTTTATTTTGCATTAACTTATGATTGATCTTTAGGGCACAACTGGAGAAGAGTGGTTCCATTCCTTAAAAAAAAAAAAAAAAAAAAAAAAAAAAAAAAAAAAAAAAAAAAAAAAAAAAAAAAAAAAAAATAAAAAAAAAAAGCGCTCAAGGAGGTGATGACACAGAGTTACACCTCCTTGGGGTTAGGAGGGCCTGGGGTAAACAGGAACTCTGGCTAACAGGACCTCTGGTTCAAACTGGGCCTCTGGCTCAGCAAGGGACGTGGGTGGATCACCATGCTTGCTGGGATGCCTCAGTTCTCATCCCTGGGTGGAGTTATACATGCTGATGGCTGCTCGTTCTCATCCCTGGAGTGGAGTTCACCATGATGTGGCTGCTCAGTTTCATCCCCTGGGTGGAGTCACCATGCTGCTGGCTGCTCTGTTTATCCCTGGGTGGAGTTACCATGCTGCTGGCTGCTCTTTTTCATCCCTGGGTGAGCACCATGCTGTGGATGCCTCAGTTTCTCATCCCTGGGTGAGTTACCATGCTGCTGGATGCTCAGTTCTCATTCCCAGGGTGGGAGTTCCCACGCTGCTGGCTGCTCAGTTATATCCTGGTGGAGTTACCATGTGCTGGCTGCTCATGTTCTATACCTGGGTGGAGTTACCACGCTGCTGGCTGCTCAGTTCTCATCCCTGGGTGATGTTACCATGATGCTGGCTGCTCAGTTTCAGCCCTGGGTGGAGTTACCACGCTGTGGCTGCTCAGTTCTCATCCCCTGGGTGGAGTTACATGCTGCGGTGCTAAGTTCTCATCCCTGGGTGGAGTTACCAGCGCTGGCTTGCCTCAGTTCTATCCTGGGTGAGTGACCATGCTGCTGGCTGCTCATTTCTCATCCCTGGATGGAGTCACCATGCGCTGGCTGCTCATTTCTCATCCCTGGGTGGAGTTACCATGCTGCTGGCTGCTCAGTTCTCATCCTGGGTTGGGGTTTTCCATGCTGCTGGCTGCACATTTCTCAACCCTGGATGGAGTACCATGCTGCGGCTGCTATTTCTCATCCTGGGTGGAGTTTATCCTCGCTGCGGCTGCTCATTTCTCATCCTGTGATCATGAGATCTTCGCGGTTTAGCAGGGAGTTGGCATGAGGGAGAGTTTATATAAATGTGCCTCGGCTGCTGCTAGAGGCAATGAAAAAATGATCATAAATACTAAAAATTATATTATGAGAAGAGCTAAAACTCGGTGAGGTTAAAGTAATTAGGTAAATATTTTGGTGATGAAAATGAGTTATTTTACTAAACGGTTTTTTTTTTTTGTGTTAGGATCATGATGTGCTGGAGTGCGTCACTATTTGCGTCATTATGTGCTCTGTAATGTTGTGTTACAGGGTCCCTGGACCCATTAATACCTTAATGTTGGTTACAGTCCCTGGACCATTATGTACTTCTGTAATGTTGTGTACAGCCCTGGACCTTTATGTACCTCTGTAATGTTGAGGTTACAGTCCCTGGACCCAATTATTTACCTCTGTAATGTTGAGGTATCAGGTCCTGGACCCATTAAGTACTCCTGTAATGTTGAGGTACAGTCCCTGGACCCATTATATAACTGATGTAATGTTGTGGTACAGTTCATGGACCATTATATACCTCTGTAATGTTGAGGTACAGTCCCTGGACCCAGTATGTACCTCTGTAATGTGAGGTACAATCCTGGACCATTATATACTCTAATTTGAGGTACAGTTCTGGACCCCAGTATATACCTCTGTATGATGACGTACAGTTCTTGGACATTATGTACCTCTGGTAATATTGAGGTACAGTCCTGGACTCATTATGTACCTCGATTATTGTTGAGGTACAGTTCCTGGACCCATTATGTACCTCTGTAATGTGAGGTTTTACAGTCCTGGACCCATTATGTACCTCTGTATGTTGAGGTACAGTTCTGGACCATTATGTACCTTGTAATGTTGAGGTACCTGCTTCCTGGACCCATTACATACCCTGTAATATTGAGGTACAGTCCATGACCCATAATGTACTCTGTTAATGTTGAGGTACGTTCCTGGACCCTATTATATACCTCTGTAATGTTGAGTACAGTCCTGGACCCATTATGTACCTTGTAAAGTTGAGGTACAGTTCCTGGCCCCATTATTACCTCTGTAATGTTGAGGTACAGTTCCTCGGACCCATTACATAAAACTCTACGGATTATTTGTCTATCAGAATTGATCTAATTTGATATTAATAAACACTATAAATAACATACAAACATGTTATTTTACACTAGGATGAATAAAATAGGCCCAAAATATGACGAAAGTTTATCGGGGAATATTTCGTATATTGAGTTACTTCCACTCCATGTCCCATTTTTTGGTCTTGAGTAAGAGAAACGGTGTTTTGAGAGGATAATGCACTAGAACATCAGTTTACTGAGTTACACTACTAGCACAACTTTACTATTTTTTATAGGTGGACTCTGGCATGTCCCACTTAAAAAGTTGTACTGCAATGCTCGTAAATTGTTCTTAACTAAGCCCCTGCAGGAAACCACTGGTATGACAGCAGCACTGGTAGTAACGTAACGTAGACATGCTGGGCCTGGAATGCTGCTTTCATGCTGCTTGATGGCTTGCGAAGCCCGTGTCATCCACCTTGCATATTTGCTTGTAGCAGCAGGGTAGGACACACAGGGGACATATTCGAAGATGGAGTGCGGCTCGGAGGACTGAACGGGCACTACAATCATTAATGTGGTCTGGCAAAAACCTCCGCTGGACCATAAGAAATAGAGGCGAATGGCCTGAGTGACAAATCGAGGAAGGAGGGGAGAGTGGCCGAGGCGGAGTGATGGTGTAGCCTCCTACTGGCCACTTCAAATCAAACATGTTTGTGTTTCACTAGGTTGTCCTAGTCACAGTTCACCACATAAGAGTTTCCAGCAAGCATTTCTGCTGCGCTCCAACGATAGTTTGTTGCATGAAGAGTTATCATTGGTTGAGATAAGCAGTTCTGATATAGAAGGCCTGGACTTCACTCAACACACACGTCCTCTCCACTCAACCATCAGGCATACTGTAAAATTGTCACATTAAGTCACATAAGCAAAAACTTAAAAGTCACCTTTAACAAATATTCCTTCAGTAAATATTTGAATAAATGTTTAGCAAACCAACACCACTACTGGTAAACAAGCTAAACCACTACACATAGGACAAACAACACCCATACTCGTAAACAAGGGACACCCACTACACACTAGACTAAACCAACACCCTCATACTACACACTAGAAAACAACACACTTACACATAGACAAACCACACCACTACACACTAGGACAAACTATGACCGTTACACTTTAACATACTATCACCTTTTTTTTTTTTTTTTTTTTTTTTTTTTTTTTTTTTTTTTTTTTTTTTTTTACAGTTGTGGTTATAAAAGTACTCCTGACCATCTTCGACATCATTGGTTGATGTCGCCTCAGCACTGTCGTTGAACAAATATTTTTTGCACCATAAACCGGTCGCTGCTGCCACTGCTTCGACAACTCTCTTTTTAGTCGTTAACATTTCGTTGTGTTGTCATGATTTCGTGCAAGCCGTTCCTGAACCTAGGTCAGTTTGGTCGCTTCCTGCTTCAGGATTCATCATTTCTCGTGCAGGACGTTCAGCTTCTTAGGACTGTTTCTTATTTTTTAAGTAAATCAGAAACAAAACGAATGAGAATCTCCAAGGTAATACACATCCATGTTGGAATACCTTGCCTTTAAATGCGTGTCTATGGAGCATAGTGTTCACTTTGAGAATTGACGCCCCGATGATCCTCACCTGCTTCCGGGCAGGCGAAATCTATTATGTTGGACATGGAAGTTAGAGTCCTCTCCACATGTTGAAAACCAATAACATTGGCAGCATTAGGTCCATGTGTACGAATCCTTTATCATGAACTCATGGAGGCTCCTCATGCTAACTTATCAAAGCAGGATGCGCTTTGAGGTAGACTTACAGGTGTAGAAAAATTCGTTGGGAAATCTGTGTGTCCACGGTATTCCATAACCATGGCTGGGTAATCAATCGGCCATTGTATCTCAACCAGAGGGGCACCTCCTGGCACATCAATTCATGAAGCAAAATTCATTTCATGGCCAAATATCCTCATGTAGTTTTTTAAGGGGATTTTTTGGACGCACAGTTTTTTCACCGAGTACTGTGAAGAGATAGGATGATTTCGCTGGACTCGTGCAAGGAATTGTACACTCCTGGGCTCTCATCACTATAGTCTGTCAGATCATCAAAGGAGACAAAGGTAACCTTTTTACATCCATTTTGAAGATGTGAGAGCGGTACTGTCCCTCGAGTTGGCTTCTACAACCTCACGAAGTTTGACCAAGTCTTACAGTTGCCTCTACTAAAGTTCTTCAGTATAGCTATTATTTCTTCTTTATATAGTTATATTAGAATATTACTCTTTCACTGTAGGATGTTTACCAAAGTCTTCAGCTGCCTCTCTAAAGTATTCAGTATAGCTATTATCTTCTTTAATATAGTTTTATTAGATTATTACTCTTCTCCTGTGGATGTTTAACCAAGTCTTCAGTTGCCCTCTACTAAAGTTACTTCAGTATAGGATTATTGTCTTTTTTAATATAGTATATATCCAATTTAACATATTGGTTTTGTAATTGAGAGTCGATGTAGGTGTTTAAGTAGTGGAGTGTGTTTTAGTGTTTAGCAGTGGTGTGTGTAATGTTTTAGTAATGAGAGTGTGTGTTGTGTTTAGTAGTGAGTGTGTGTGTTAGTGCTTAGTAGTGAGAGTCATAGTGTCATATATTAGTGAGTAATGACCAACAATACACAGAATATTTATTTTAATATTTTTGTCTTGGCTTATAGTGAGTCGATGAAATATTTTTTATTGTAAGAAGTGTGAATAAATGAAGAATGTCCATAAGGAAAACATCTGTATTGGAAAATACCAGAAAGTGAGACCCTCCTGATTTCTATTGTAATATAATTTACTTTCTTTAAACAAAAATGCCCAATTAAACTGAGGAAGCAGATAAAATGTCTAATACCTCAGGATCATGAGCCTCATCACTTTGCCAAAGAGGCCCACTTGAGAAGTGGTCGTGGTAGCAGTAGTGGTGGGTTGTGGTGGAGAGGGCAGTAGTAATGGTGGTAGTAGTTTGTTTGTGGAGGTTGTTTGTTGTAGTTGTGGTGATGGTGGTGGTAGTTGTAGTAGTGGTGATGGTGGGTAGTAGTGAATTGTCAGAAAAACTCAAAATATTTGATAATGTCACATATGCAAAATAAAGTCACATTAAAAACAAAATATTCTTCAGTAATATTTGAATAAATAGTTTAGACAACCAAACCACTACTCGGTAACAAGCTGTCCACCATACACACTAGAAAACCACCACCACTACACACTAGACAACAACACCACTACACACTAGACCAAAACACACCACTACACACTAGACAAACCAACACCTACACAATAGACAAAACCAACACCACTCACATAGACCAAAACCCAACACCACATACAACCACTAGACAAACCAAAACCACTACACACTTGACAAACCAAACCACTACACTCTAGACAAAACATATGACCTTTACAATTACACATTACTATCACCTTTTTTTTTTTTTTTTTTTTTTTTTTTTTTTTTTTTTTTTTTTTTTTTTTTTACAGTTGTGGTTATAAAAGTATCCTGACCATCTCACATCATTGGTTGAATGTCGCCTCCGGCATTGGCGATGAACAAATATTTTTTTGCATCCATAACGGTCGTGCTTTTGCACTGCTTCGACAATCTCTTTTGAGTCGTTTACATTTCGTTGTGATGTTATGATTTCGTGCAAGCGTTCTGAACAATGGCAAGTTTGGTCGCTTCCCTGCTTTCAGGATCCATCATGTCTCGTGCCAGGACGTTCTGCTTCTTAGTACTGATTTCTTATTTTTAAGTAATCAGAAACAAAACTAATGAGATTCCAAAGGAATCACATCCCATGGTTGGAGATCCTTGCCTTTAATGCGTGTTCTGGAAGCATAGTGTTCACTTTGGAATTGAAGCCCGATGATCTCACTGCCTCCGGGCCAGGCGAAAATCTATTATGTTGACATGAAAGTTAGAGTCTCCTCCTCCACATGTTGAACCAATACATTGGTCAGCTTTTAGGTCCATGTGTACGAATCCTTTATCATGAACCTCCTGGAGGCTCTCAGACTAACTTAATCAAGCCAGGATGCCCTTTGAGGGAAAAGACTTACAGGTGTAGAAAAATTTCGTTGAAATCTGTGTGTCACGGTATTCATTATATCCTGGCTGGGGGTAATCATAGGCCATGTATCTCACCAGAGGGGCACATCCAGCACCATCCAATACATGAAGCAAGTTCATTTTTATGGCCAAATATCCTCATGTAGTTTTTCATGGGCTTTTTTTGACGCCCTAGTTTTTCCCGAGTACAGTGAAGAGATAGACTGATCGCTGCTCCGTGCCAGGAATGTACCACTACTGGGCTCATCTTCACTAAGTCGTCAGCTCCTCAAAGGAGACAAGGTAACCTTTTTACCAGTTCCATTTTGAAGATGTGAAGATGCGGTACATGTCCTCGAAGTGGCTTCTACAACCTACGAAGTTTTACAAGTCTTCAGAGGCCTCTACTAATAGTACTTCAGTATAGCAATTATCTTCTTTAAATATAGTTATATTAGAATTTTACTCTTCACTTCAGGAAGTTTCACCAAGTCTTCAGCTGCCTCTCTAAAGACTTCAGTATTGCTTATTATCTTCTTTAATAAATTTATAGTTATATTAGAATTATTATACTTTCACCTGTAGGAAGTTTTACCAGTCTTCAGCTGCCTCTACTAAAGTACTTCAGTATAGATTATTTGTCTTTTTTTAATATAAGGGTTTTTTTATATTTCATTTATACTTAGTGTTTAGTAATGAGAGTGCTATGTAGTGTTTAGTAATGAGGTCTAATGTAGTGTTTAATAGTGAGAGTGTGTGTTGTGTTTTGACAAGTGAGTGTGTGTAGTGTTTTAGTAATGAGTGTGTGTGTTAGTGTTTAGTAGTGAGTGTGTGTGTAGTGCTTAGTAGTGAGTCTTGTAGTGTTTAGTAGTGAGGGAGTTATGTAGTGTTTAGTAGTGAGAGTCTATGTAGTGTTTTGTAGTGAGAGTCTATAGTGTCATATATTAAGTGAGGAATTGGACCAATAATACACAGGAATATTTATTTTAAAATATTCTTTGTTCCTTAGCTTATAGTGAGTCGTGAATATTTTTTATTGTAAGAAGTGTGAAGAAATGAAGAATGTCCATAATTGAACAAAGTATGGAAAATTCCAGAAAAGTGAGACCCTCCTGTATTCTATTGGATTATAATATACTTTCTATAAACAAAATAGCCAAATAAATGAGGGGAAGCAGACTAATATGTCTAGTACCTCAGATCAAGAGCCTCTTCATGTGTCAAAGAGCCCCCACTTGAAGAGTGGTGGTGGTAGCGTAGTGGTGGTTGTGGTGGTGTTGGCAGAGTATGGTGGTAGTAGTTGTTGTGTGGTAGTAGTTGTAGTCGAGGTGATGGTGGTGGTTGTTGTAGTAGTGGTGATGCGTGGTAGTTGTGAATTGTCAGATAACTCAAATTTAAATTGATAAATTCACATATGCAAAACTTAAAAGTCACACATTTAACAAAATTATTCCTTCAGTAATATTTGAATAAATAGTTTAGAAAACAACACCACTACTCGGTAAACAAGCTGGACACACTACACATCTAGACAACCCAACACCACTACACAATAGAACAAACCAACACCACTAACGTCCCAGACAAACCAAACACCACTACACACTAGACAAACCATACCACTAACCACTAGACAAACAACACCACTACACGTCAAGAAAACCAACACACTACACACTAGACAACCATCACCATTTACCACACTAGACAAATCCAACACCACTACACACTAGACAACACAAACCACTAACACTAGACAAACCAACACCACTAACACTAGACAATCTATGACCTTTACACATTTACACATACTATCAACTTTTTTTTTTTTTTTTTTTTTTTTTTTTTTTTTTTTTTTTTTTTTTTTTTTTTTTTTTACAGTGGTGGTTATTAAAAGTATCGACCTCTCTACATCATTGGTTGTGTCGCTCGCATTGGCGATGAACAAAATTTTATGACACCATAACGGTCCGCTGCTGCACTGCTTCGACAAACTCTCTTTTTGTGTCGTTTAATTTCGTTGTGATGTTCTGATTTCGTGCAAGCGTTCCTGAACAATGGTCATGTTGGTGCTTACCTGCGTCAGATCCATCATTCTCGTGCAGGCGTTCAGTTCTTAGACTTTTTCTTATTTTTTTAAGTAATCAGTAACATTAATAATGAGATCTCAAAGGAATACACATCCATGGTTGGAGATACCTTGCCTTAATGCGTGTCTCTGGAGCTTAGTGTGCTCTTTGTGATTGAAGCCCCGAGGATCCTCGCCTGCCTTCGGCCAGGCCGAAATCTATTATGTTGACAGGGAAGTTAGAGTCCTTTTTCCATCCATAATTACTATCACATTTGCTCTGTTTGATCCCAGACTTCACCTTATGAAACAAAGCAAATACAATAGTAATTATGGAGAAGGTAGATTAAAGTGGAAAAATTAACATGTTATTAGAAGACAGGTACTTACATGCCCCTTACGGAGATGTTTTGGTATACAGTGGCTTCATCAGTCCAATACAAAGCAGCCACTGGCTGGCAAAACATTTCTTAATAATTGTGACCCAAGTGTCTCATTCTTCAACTTGTCAATTTTCTAAACCATTTTTCACAGGAGTTATTCGTATTAGTAATACAGTGGACCCCCGGTTTACGATATTATTTCATTCCAGAAGTATGTTCAGGTGCCAGTACTGAAAGAATTTGTTCCCATAAGGAATATTGTGAATTAGATTAGTCCATTTCAGACCCCCAAACATACATGTACAAACGCACTTACATAAATACACTTACACAATTGGTCACATTGGGAGGTGATCGTAAAGCGGGGGTCCACTGTATACTATTTTTATTATAATACAGGGTGTCCACTAAAACACTCCCTGATTTCAAACAGGTATAACATGTAACTTTATTGTAATAATCTTTGCAGTTAGTAGCTTCAGATGCAGGATTTCATTCACTTTCATGTGGTATAGGGTAGCATTAAAGGCACTCAATGTACGCCCCTCTGGTTGCTCGGCAAACATTGATGCAGTAGTCTAGTTCGGTCCAGACGCTCTGCAGCATATCTGGAGTTATCGTGCGAACTGCTTCAGTGATCGAAATTTTCAGCTTCTCCAGGGTTGCATGTAGTGGTGGTACGTAAACTGTGCTCTTCACATACCTCCAAAGAAAAGTCACAAACAGTTAGGTCGGGTTACCTTGCAGGCCACTTCCAGAGGTCACCCTGTATTACTGTAGATTTTAATTTTTAAACTAAGGTATTTGTTATTATTAGCAGTTAAGGGATTCATTATTATTATTTTTCCATTTTATTATATTTTGTTGTCATTTGAAGGCCACATTTTTTTGGATAACTGGTTTTATAGAAAAAAAAAAAATTTGCAGCATCAGTTTAGGGCCAAACAGACTGGTATGTTCAGTGAGTGTTGGAGTTTAAAAACGATTATATAGCACATATTTATGGTGTATCCAATAGCGTAACTGAAGCACATGCTGGATTCCCAGGCTTAAATCCAGTAGCACTCAGCAGTCAGAATGATGGGTATTTTACTGTGCCAGTGATGGTCCTCTTTAAGTCATATGTTCTCTCTAGGCAGGAATACTACTGCAAACTAACAGCCTCATTCAAGACAGGTGAAATTTCAGATCTAGAGAATAGTCAGAGAACCTTCATTACACGCATTAGTTCAGTCAAGCATCTTTATTACAGGGAACATTTGAAGCTTCTTGTCCTGTATTCCCTGGAACACAGGTGAGAGAAAGATGCATCATAATCTACACCTGGAAAATTCTAGAGGAACTGGTTCCAAATCTGCACACAAAAATCACTACCTACGAAAGCAGACTTGGCAGGTGGTGCAACATATCTTCAATTAAAAGCAGAGGTGCCATGGGTTAACTAAAAGAAAACGATAATTGTCTGGGGCCTATGATTGTTCATACTAATAGGCCCCTGGCTGTCTTCAAGAGGGAGCTGGACTGATACCTTGAGTCAGTGCCTGATCAGCCGGGCTGTAATTCATGTGTTGGATTGTGTGTGGCTAACAGTAACAGCCTAATTGATCAGGTTATGATCCACTGGGAGGTTTGGTCGAGGACTGGGTCACGATAGGATTGACTCCGGGAACATCCTCCACATAGACTCCAAGTAGCAAGTGTGGGTAAAGTTGTGGGATGGTGAATTAAAAGTGGGTTTGAGATGGAGCTTATGTTATTCCTTTTTATAAAGATAAAGACAAAAAAATGTAAGAGTTATAAAGGAATAAGTATCTCTAGTATACCAGGTTAAAAAATATTAGAATTGTGATAGTGATTTGAAATGCAAAAATATAATATGATTTTTTGAAGAACAGTGGATTTAGAAAAGTAATGAGGATGTGGATAAAACATTTGCAGTAACTAAAGCATATAGATGAGTAGTGCATAGATGAGGGAGAGAAGCTGTTTGTTGTATTTGTGGATTTGTAAAGGGATTTGACATAGTGACTTGTTAGTGACTTGACAAATTTAGTAGTATGGAATAGTTGATAATTTGTCAAAATATGAATTTTTTCAGTTAGAGTAAAACACCTGAAGGTTGATAGAAAAACAAGAAGGAAAAATATATTCCCAGCAAGACTGGTTCACAGATGAGAATGTTCTATGGTTATTTTATGTTAAATGAGCATAGACGAGCTTATAAGAGAAGTAAATTCTAGAAGGGCCACATGCGTCCCTCAGGCTGCAGGTTTGGGACCCCCACTGGGCTACATCATTTAGTACAGTATTCAGATATATATGACTGTAAATATATATATTTAACAAGGTGCTGTTTTGTTGTAGATAAACGTCGAAAGAAAGTTGCCGAGGCAAAAGAAGCAATAGCCAAAGCTAAAAAAGAGGAATCAAAAGAGGTTGCTGCCAAGAGAGCCAAGTTGAAGGAGAAACAGGAAGCAGCTCGTGCTAAGAGAGAGGGTAAAAAGAAACAGAAGACACCTAAAAAGGATACAGAAGGTGGTGAGTTTTGCGTTTTGAAGTTGACTATACAGATTCTCCTCACTGTACAGTGGTTTGACTTGCGATATTTTGATTTTTATGATAGCGCTGCACATTCAGTACTGTACATTTATTGATAGGATAAACTTGTAGTCATCTATTTACTTTTCAGTACTGGCATTTAGTATCGGTAATTTGTTTATTTACTTATTCAGTGATAGTTATTTATTTACTTATCATATACAGCGGAACCTCTACTTGTGAGCGTGTCCACGTGCGAGTTTTTTCCAAATACGAGCAGTCGATGGGTCAATTTTTTGCTTCCATACGCGAGCAAAGTTTCCACAAGCGAGCAGACCTCAAGGCAGGTTCCTTGACACTGGTGAGGGACTCTTGCTCTTGATCTCAGGAATTGTATCTCATTTGTTTGTTGGACTATCTTATTGAAACTTGGGCAATGTATGATGGAAAGATGCTTCTTATCATACACCAAAAATGAAAGAAATCTAAGCATAAATAATGGAGTTCACTTCTCAGCAATTAGCCACCCCTTAGTGGTAATTTCGAATGGTTTTTATGGTTGTATTCTCATTTTTTTGGTCTCATTTGATAGAATGGAAGATGTATTACAGAAATAGATATGATTTTAATTGCTTTCATGACAAAAAGTACCTTGAAATAGAGCTCAACCTAGGAGAAATGGTACATTGCTTAGCAGTTTGAGTAAACAAATGACGTCACTGTCCATTCCAATATGCAGTCGTGAATGGCTTGACATTATTTATATAATTATTGCAGTAAGGAATAACAGTAATTCTTATACTTTTTGTGTGAATAAAAATTACAAATTATTTATATAATAATATGTATAATAATACATACAATAATAATACAATACAATAATAATACTGTACAATACAATAATAATAATACATATAATAATAATAATACATATAATAATAATACATATAATAATAATACATATAATAATACAATAATAATACAATAATAATACATATTTTTTTTTTTTTTTTTTTTTTTTTTTTTTCTCAACAAGTCGGCCGTCTCCCACCGAGGCAGGGTGACCCAAAAAAAGAAAGAAAATCCCCAAAAAGAAAATACTTTCATCATCATTCAACACTTTCACCACACTCGTACTTTATCACTGTTTTTGCAGAGGTGTTCAGAATACAACAGTCTAGAAGCATACACATATAAAGATACACAACATATCCCTCCAAACTGCCAATATCCCAAACCCCTCCTTTAAAGTGCAGGCATTGTACTTCCCATTTCCAGGACTCAAGTCCGACTATATGAAAATAACCGGTTTCCCTGAATCCCTTACATATATAATAATACATTTTTTTTTGACAAGTCGGCCGTCTCCCACCGAGGCAGGGTGACCCACCGAGGCAGGGTGACCCACCGAGGCAGGGTTACCCAAAAAAGAAAGAAAATCCCCAAAAAGAAAATACTTTCATCATCATTCAACACTTTCACCACACTCACACATTATCACTGTTTTTGCAGAGATGCTCAGAATACAACAGCTTAGAAGCATATACGTATAAAGATACACAACATATCCCTCCAAACTGCTAATATCCCAAACCCCTCCTTTAAAGTGCAGGCATTGTACTTCCCATTTCCAGGACTCAAGTCCGACTATATGAAAATAACTGGTTTCCCTGAATCCCTTCACTAAATATTACCCTGCTCACACTCCAACAGATCGTCAGGTCCCAAGTACCATTCGTCTCCATTCACTCCTATCTAACACGCTCACGCAAGCTTGCTGGAAGTCCAAGCCCCTTGCCCACAAAACCACCTTTACCCCCTCTCTCCAACCCTTTTGAGGACGACCCCTACCTCGCCTTCCTTCCCCTGTAGATTTATATGCTTTCCATGTCATTCTACTTTGATCCATTCTCTCTAAATGATCAAACCACCTCAACAACCCCTCTTCTGCCCTCTGACTAATACTTTTATTAACTCACACCTTTTCCTAATTTCCACACTCCGAATTTTCTGCATAATATTTACACCACACATTGCCCTTAGACAGGACATCTCCACTGCCTCCAACCGTCTCCTTGCTGCAGCATTTACCACCCAAGCTTCACACCCATATAAGAGTGTTGGTACTACTATACTTTCATACATTCCCTTCTTTGCCTCCATAGATAACGTTTTTTGACTCCACATATACCTCGATGCGCCACTCACCTTTTTTCCCTCATCAATTCTGTGATTAACCTCATCCTTCATAAATCCATCCGCCGACACGTCAACTCCCAAGTATCTGAAAACATTCACTTCTTCCATACTCCTCCTCCCCAATTTGATATCTAATTTTTCTTTATCTAAATCATTTGATACCCTCATCACCTTGCTCTTTTCTATGTTCACTTTCAACTTTCTACCTTTACACACATTCCCAAACTCATCCACTAACCTTTGCAATTTTTCTTTAGAATCTCCCATAAGCACAGTATCATCAGCAAAAAGTAACTCTGTTAATTCCCATTTTGAATTTGATTCCCCATAATTTAGTCCCACCCCTCTCCCGAACACCCTAGCATTTACTTCTTTTACAACCCATCTATAAATATATTAAACAACCATGGTGACATTACACATCCCTGTCTAAGACCTACTTTTACCGGGAAGTATTCTCCCTCTCTTCTACACACCCTAACCTGAGCCTCACTATCCTCATAAAAACTCTTTACAGCATTTAGTAACTTACCACCTATTCCATATACTTGCAACATCTGCCACATTGCTCCCCTATCCACTCTATCATATGCCTTTTCTAATCCATAAATGCAATAAAAACTTCCCTACCTTTACCTAAATACTGTTCACATATATGCTTCAATGTAAACACTTGATCTACACATCCCCTACCCACTCTGAAGCCTCCTTGCTCATCCGCAATCCTACATTCTATCTTACCTCTAATTCTTTCAATTATAACTCTACCGTACACTTTTCCTGGTATACTCAATAAACTTATTCCTCTATAATTTTTACAATCTCTCTTGTCCCCTTTCCCTTTATATAAAGGGACTATACATGCTCTCCGCCAATCCCTAGGTACCTTCCCCTCTTTCATACATTTATTAAATAAAAGTACCAACCACTCCAACACTATATCCCCCCCTGCTTTTAACATTTCTGTCATGATCCCATCAGTTCCAGCTGCTTTAGCCCCTTTCATTCTACGTAATGCCTCACGTACCTCCACCACACTTACATTCTGCTCTTCTTCACTCCTAAAAGATGGTATACCTCCCTGACCAGTGCATGAAATTACTGCCTCCCTTTCTTCCTCAACATTTAAAAGTTCCTCAAAATATTCTCACCATCTACCTAATACCTCCCTCTCCCCATCTACTAACTCCCCTACTCTGTTTTTAACTGACAAATCCATACTTTCCTTAGGCTTTCTTAACTTGTTTAACTCACTCCAAATTTTTTTCTTATTTTCATTAAAATTTCTTGACAGTGCCTCTCCCACTCTATCATCTGCTCTCCTTTTGCACTCTCTCACCACTCTCTTCACCTTTCTTTTACTCTCCATATACTCTGCTCTTCTTATAACACTTCTGCTTTGTAAAAACCTCTCATAAGCTAACTTTTTCTCTTTTATCACACCCTTTACTTCATCATTCCACCAATCACTCCTCTTTCCACCTGCCCGCACCCTCCTATAACCACAAACTTCTGCCCCACATTCTAATACTGCATTTTTAAAACTATTCCAACCCCCCCACTACTCATCTTGGCACTAGCCCACCTAGTAATAATAATGTACTACATATAACAATTATAATAGACGGCTTCAAAAGACCGTCACTAGATGGCAGTGTTTACCACAACAAAGAGGGAGTGGTTGTGTCTGCCTCCACCTGTTACATAATGACATATTTTATTCATTCTAGAGTATATATCATGTTTCTATGTTATTTTTATTGTTTGTTATGTCATATTAGATGAACTGTGATATATAAGTAAGCCATATAGTTGATATTAGCAAAATTATTCATGAAGTATTTTCACCGTTCTTCAGACAAACTCTAGTCCACAGCCGACACCGCCCATACCACTACATGAATGACATATTTTATTCATTCTAGAGTATATATCATGTTTCTGTGTTATGTCATATTAGATGAACTGTGATAGATAAATAAGCCGTATAGATGATATTAGCTAAATTATTCATGAAGTATTTTGCCCGGTCTCCAGACAAACTCTCGTGCACCGCTGACACATGAATGATATATTTTATTCATTTTAGAGTATATATCAGGTTTGTATGTTATTTATATTGTTTATTATGTCATATTAGATGAAGTGAGATAGATAAATAAGCCGTAGAGTTGATATTAGCGAAATTATTGAAGTACAGAATTCTACTAGAACAGATTCATTGCATTTCAGTTAATTTAAATGAGGAAAACTGACTCTGCAAACGAGCAAATCCAGTTGCGAGCAAGGTCATGGAACGGATTAAACTCGCAAGTAGAGGTTCCACTGTATTTGATTTACAATATTTTCAACTGATATTGGGTTCATTGGAAAGTAACCCCATTGTAAGTCAGAGTATCTGTAGTAGGTGCTACAGGGTCGCTAGATCATTGTACACAAATAACCCACACATTCAAATTCAAATTCAAAGTTTATTCTCTATAAGGATTACAATGCTGAGTTTACAGAATTTGGTTATTGTATTGTTTACATGTAGTAAAATAATAATTACAGAGTGTACCACTAGAACACCTAGCATGGCTAGGCATTTTGGGCAGACTTAAATTAAATCTTAAGTTTAAAATATTACAAAATTATGAGGTAAGTTGGTATTATGGCTAAGTGACTAAATACTAGTTTGTGAGTTTAGCAATGTGAATGCTTTTGTTTTGGCACTATACATAGTTTCAGTATTGGAGTATCACAGGCCAACTTATGACTAGTTAAGATTCATTATTTTGAGATTGAGATTGATATTTCTGTTTATGGTCAAATGGGTGAGTGAGTGTAAGTGTTAACCACCAGGTTGTATTCGTGTAATTAGTTGACAGGATGTATCAGGGAGATAAGATGTTTTCTGATGGTAGTTTTGAAGGTGATGAATGTGTCTGCAGTTTTAGAATTTTCAGGTAGGGTGTTCCAGATTTTAGGGCCTTTGACATACATTGAATTTTTGTAAAGGTTTAGTCGGACACGGGGAATGTCATAGAGATGTTTGTGTCTGGTATTGTGCCTGTGGGTTCTGTCGCAACTATCAAGAAAGCGTTTTAGGTCAAGGTTAATATTGGAATTTAAGGTCCTGTAGATGTAGATTGCACAGTAGTAAGTGTGGATGTACTGAACAGGGAGTAAGTTTAGATCTATGAAGAGTGGGGGGGTTGTGTTGCCAGGGATGGGATTTAGTGATTATTCTTACTGCGCTTTTTGTTGGGTTATTATTGGCTTTAGGTGTGTTGCTGCAGTTGAACCCCAAGCACATATAGCATAGGTGAGGTATGGATATATAAGTGAATGGTATAGTGTGAGAAGGGCAGATTGCGACATGTGGTATCGTATCTTGGAGAGGATCCCAACCGTTTTGGATACTTTTTTGGTTGTGTGTTGGATATGGGTGCTGAAGTTCAGGTTGTTGTCGAGGTATAGGCCTAGGAATTTGCCCTCATTATGCCTGGCAGTTAGAGTGTTGTCGATCTTAATGTTAATTTGCGCATCTCCTGCTCTGCTACCAAACATAATGTAGTAGGTTTTGTCAGTGTTAAGTGTAAGTTTATTGGCTGTCATCCAAGTCGATATTTTGATCAGCTCCTCATTAACAATGGTGTTGAGGGTGGCAAGATTTAGGGCGAGAGATGACATAAGTCGTTGTCGTCAGCAAAAGAGAATGGGGTTCAGGTGTTGAGATACATTTGGAAGATCATTGATGTATATGAGGAAGAGCAGGGGACCAAGGACACTTCCCTGCAGAACTCCAGTATCGAGTGGCTGTGTTGTTGATGCTGTGTCTTTAATGGTGACATACTGATACCTATTAGTAAGGTAAGATTTGAAATATGCAAGCGCATGGCCTCTTATACCATAATGGTCAAGTTTGTGGAGTAGGATGCCGTGGTCTACTGTGTCAAAAGCTTTTCTTAGGTCAATAAAAATTCCTAGTGGAAAGACACTTACGACTACGTTTCAGTCCAGACTCGGACCTTTAACTGGTTCAATTCAGACTCATACATCCTTATAAGTTTCTGATTTTTAATTCTTTAGAACACTGTGCAGCCTGCTATCGAGTTGTCAATTTTCTTAGTGTCTTCGATCAAAAATATTTTTTTTTTTTTTTTTTTAACTTTTGCTAGAGGGTTTGGTGTCACTCTGTAACTTGCTAATAGTTTGTAAACAAAACAGATTTTTGTATGAGTTTTTTATTTTATTAAAGAATTTATGTTCTGTACTGTAATGTTTTTCTGTTTTGGAGTAAACTTGAATCAAAGGTGAACATTGTACAGAATTCACCACTTGATAATGAAAATACTTGATATGTTGCTTGTTACAGGATATCTATTGAAAGGAAATGGCTTTATTATTGAAATTCATGTTAAGTGAAAGTAGTTTAATGAGGTATAGAGGTAAAATTTGGTTCTAGAGTTCTTGCAGGGTTACTAGCCCCTTGGTCCCAGCATTTTAGTTGCCTCTTAGGACCTGCATGGCTTGCAGAGGAATGATTCTTCTCCACTTTCCCATGGAGTAAAACTTTTTTTTTTTTCTTTTTTTTTTTTAATGCTGGCCATGTCCAATCGAGACAGGGTGACCTGAAAAAAATAAATTTTCTCCCTCATTCACACTATCACTGTCTTTCCTCCAACCTCCTCCTTGCTGCAACATTCACAACCCATGCTTCACACCCATATAAGAGTGTTGGTACCACTATACAATCATGCATTTCCCTCTTTGTCTCCGTAGATACCCTAATGCACCAACCACATTTTTCCCTTCATTAGTTCTGTGGCTTACCTCATCTGCTGACACATCCACATTCATTTTCTCCATATTACTTCTCTCCCAGTCTGATATCCAGTTTTTCATTACCTAACTTGTTTGATTATCTCATCACCATACTTGTATCTATGTTCACTTTCAACTTTCTTAAGGTAGTTTCTTTTATATACATGTTTATATCAAGTCTGTTTTCTTTTAGTACATTTGATTACTATTTGTGAGGCAGTACTTAATTGCTCTTGTAAATATTTTAGTCAGTAGCATTATTAGTACTGTTAATAATATGTTAATGATATTCATTTTTTCTACGATAATAGAGGAAGGAGACAAAATGATTGAAGGAGACGGGGATATGGAGTTTGACACTCGGAGTGAAGCATCTTCAGATCACCAGTTCTCAGACGATGAGCCGTCCATGAGCGAGGCATCCCATGCTTCCTCCATATCAAGAGAATCTTCAAGTGAGTCATGTTAGTTGACCGACTATCACCTTTCATCCATTGTTATCTTAGTGGGGTAGAAAGTATGTGCAAGGTATTAGCTACAGTAACTCTAAAGGCTAATTGTTTCTTGTTGGTTGGTAGATTTAAACCTGCATACGATATGAATTCTTCACACCTGTTTGTTGCAGATTTGGGAACCCAATATTTTAAGTTTAAATGGTAAATATAAATTGTTTAAGTATGAAAAAGTACTACTTTTTGCAAGTTCAGTAAATCTGCTAAGAATTACGATTGACAAATCTTGACCTAAATGCCAGTTTTAGTACATCCTAATGAACTTTTTGATAGATTGCACTTCTACAGTGCTAAATATTTTTGAACCATCTGCTATCTTTGAATAATTCCTAGCCCTGAAAATTGACAAGAAGCCATTTATTACAACCTTAAGTCAGCACTGTATGACCCTTGTGGGTTTAACTCTTAGTTCTGGTTGCAATAATGCAACCTTAAGAAAGAACAGCTGGCACAGGGAGATTACCTTGTGTAGAGGAAACTGTCGGTAATGTTTCATTTCATCTGGACAATTATAAAGTTACGTCCGGTCTAGAAAGGGCCAAAGAGTTAGTGGATTGTCCCATTTACGGTATTGTGTTTTTTATACTAGACACAATTTGTGTGTATTGTTTATTAAAACATTCTCTAGTTGTTGGTCCAAGCGGTACCGAAACATTGTCGTAAGTTTCTTTCTCCTACGCGCAGATTATTTGTGTATTATTTCAGTCACAGTATTGTGACTTTTTATTCTTTATTGATCTGGATGTTGTATACACTTCAGAGAAAGGGGGGAATGGGCTGCACCAGACATGAAACCTTTGATAGGGGCAGTCTTAAATTACACACGTGCACTTAAGAACTGGGCATATAGGCAGTATAATTAAAGTTTTTACTTCCTAACCTGTAATATGCACATACATGAACCATAACCATTCATTATACTATTGTTTTCATACAGATAACTTGTCTTTAAGTCAGAAACCATGGACACAACTGTTTTAAGTTGGGGATCTCCTGTACATACAGTGTTGATGTAATTAAGACACATGTGCAACATCTGGGTATCTTTATTGTAGACGTTTCGCCATCCAGTGGCTTTATCAACACAAATTCTAGGACATAGCTTGAAGACAGTAGGACTATATACAGAAGATGAGGTAATCAGTCCCTCAACCTAGGAGTAGGTGCGAAGAGCACCATAGTCGTGTTAAACGTATGTTAAAATTTTTCTTTTGACCAATTTTCATTGTTGAATGTTGTAGTGCCGTATACTCCGATACAGCATGTTTACTTTTTACTTTGTATTTTCTAAATTACAGTTGAAAAAGAGGAAATAGAAGATAAAGATGAGAACAGGAAGCGCAAGCGCAGCACTTCAGAAACTTCTATCAAAAGCAGTGAAGATCGTAAGTACTCTAACTTCGTTGGCTTGTTAAAGTTAATATGTGTATATTGTGTTCACATAGCACTTAGAGTGAGCATTTGTAATCTTTGGAAAATTGAGAAAAGTTCATTAATGAGAACTGAATATGTCAGTACACCAGTTCCATTAATGGGTATATATAAATAATTTATAGGCTGAAAAATCTTTGCCAGTGAGCATAGGGTTGGTTTTCAGATATTCAATCCTGTACAGCATCATCTCTCTCAACTTGGCCACTACTGTACAGGCAGGTCCTGCTTTACAGTGCTTCACTTTATGGAGTTACGTTAATGTGGCGGTTTTCAATTGCAGTAAAGTCCTTGATTTAAACACGCTGAGAGTCTTCTGTATTGTGTATAATATCATTATCATACATGATACCAGTATGCATACCTTAAATAATGTATATTAGAACTGATTTCCTCTTTTCTGTTTATTTCAATACACAGTACACTACTGTATAAACATTTAAAAATATACCAGAAATGCTATAAATTGTGCAAAGGTGACATTAAAACATATCAAAGATGGTTGGCACAAACCCACTACCATTATAGTATGCTTCTCATTTAGCGACAAATTTATTTACTGACATGGTCTTAGGAATGAAACTCCGTCATTAAGTGAGGAGAGGCTGTACATGTATTGCACTTTTTGTTGTTATTTTAGAATGTACTTTTTCTATTTATACAAAAAAAAGTTTACTGTAAAACAGTGTGCCATGTTGCACAGGCAGCAGCCTCATACATCTCTGTGATATTCGCACAACAACGAAATCACCTAACGACGTATTTCTCAGAATGTATCCCCGTTGTTAAGCAGTGCATGACTGTATTAATTAGTTGTAAATTAAGGTTTGTGATAGGTGAGTGAATTCAATTACCTGGTGTTTAAATAATTACATGTATTAACAATATTTTTCAGCACTCAAAAAGCCAAAGGAAAATTCTACCAAGAAGAAATACGACTACATAACCAAAGTAAACTACATGTTCCGAGATGCAAGATTCTTCCTCATGAAATCCAATAACGCTGATAATATATCACTCTCCAAGACAAAAGGAGTCTGGTCAACACCACCACAAAATGAGGCTAAGCTTAACCAAGCATACAGGGAGGCCAGGAATGTCATTCTCATATTCTCTATTAAGGAGAGTGGACGCTTCTGTGGTAAGTTTATTGATTGTCACTAAAAAGTTGGAGTGTTAGCAAAGTAACATTTATGAAGGGATTCAAGGAAACCAGTTAGTCGGATCCGAGTCCTGGAGGTGAGAAGTACAGTACCTACACTCTGAAGAAGGGATGGGAATGATATCACATTCCGAATTGTGATATCAACTCGTATCTGGCAAGACAGCAATTGAATGAATGATAGTGAATGCATTGTCTTCTTTAAGTAACTCTGCCCTGGTGGGAGAGGGCTGTTAGGGTAAAAAAATATAATAATAATTCCTGTTTAGAGGGACATCCAGACTGTCGTATCTGTGCATCTCTGGCAAGACAGTGATAGTGTGAATGATGGTGAAAGTATTTCTTTTTTGGGTCACCCTGTCTTGGTGGGTGATGGCTGGCATGTTAAATAAAAAAATAGTTTTCTTTTTCAGTAGCATTTATTATGTTTTTGACTAAGGGCATCGTGATCACTGACAGTTTTCATTTACTGGTAATAATTTAATATTTCATTATGTGGTTTACAGGATTTGCTCGACTTGCTGGTGAATCTCGAAGGGACCTTCCTCCTGTTTCCTGGGTTTTGCCACCAGGATTATCAGCACGTGCTCTGGGAGGAGTATTTGAACTGGATTGGATATCAAGGTGAGCTGAAATTCTTGCGAGGATTTTATAAGTCATATTTTGGCTAGAAAATTATAATTTTCCAGGAATTGAGTCCATGTTTAGAATATAATCCATAAAAGCTCTGCATCCTGTAATGGAGAATTTACTGCTGTGGGTGTTTCTTTTATAGATTCTCTCTTGGGGCCTAGTTCCTAGGCCTTTTGTGTGTCCACATGCTCTTGCACTACCTTCCACAGGATGGATATGGGGTGCACAATCAACTACCCACTTCGGTGACAAAATCTAAATCTTATGGATTCTGTAACATTTTGCACTTAAAATAAGCATAGCTGTCAGCCGATTTAAGATGGTAGTTACGTTCCTAAAAACGGTGTCTTATCAAAAAATTGTCTAAAATAAACTGAAGAATATATGGTAAAAATGGAGTTACGTTTATTAGACCCCCCTCCCCCCAAAAAGCCCAACCAAGATTTCTTAAAGCTTTGTAATTTGCCAAAACTCAAAAATAATCATGTTATCTATTCACAGTAGTTGTCATTGCTTGTTGATATGGAAATTTGTGAGGAGGGTTGATGAGACCCTGTGCAATACCTGTGCAAACAAATGACAAGCAGCTCCACAGCTATTACCTACCACAACTATCAACTAACTCCATCAAAACCTCAGTAAAAATACCATATTTTACCAGCCAAGAAAAGTTTTTTTTACTAAATAAATATGCCCAAATATGTATGAGCGTGTTCGATAGGAGTGAATGGAAACGAATGGTACTTGGGACCTGACGAGCTGTTGGAGTGTGAGCAGGGTAATATTTAGTGAAGGGATTCAGGGAAACCGGTTATTTTTATATAGCCGGACTTGAGTACTGGAAATGGGAAGTACAGTGCCTGCACTCTAAAGGAGGGGTTCGGGATATTGACAGTTTGGAGGGATATGTTGTGTATCTTTATACGTATATGCTTCTAAACTGTTGTGTTCTGAGCACCTCTGTAAAAACAGTGATTATGTGTGAGTGAGGTGAAAATGTTGAATGATGATGAAAGTATTTTCTTTTTGGAGATTTTCTTTCTTTTTTTGGGTCACCCTGCCTCGGTGGGAGACAGCCGGCTTGTTGAAAAAAAAAAATGTATGAGTGATGGTGAAAGTGTTGAATGAGGAAGAAAGTTTTTTTTTTTCTTTCAGGTTTTTCTTTTTCTTTGGATCACCCTGCCTCAGTGGGAAATGGCTGACGTCTTAAAAAAAAAAATGCCCAGAATAATAGCCACCATAATGAATCCAAACTATCCAAGAAAACAAAAAAAAAAAAAAATAAAATATGAAAAAAGTGTCTTGGTCACTTCGTATTTGTTGTTGTTGGGTTTAAAGTTGCGATAGTCCAAGGGTCATTGTGTCCATCTCACTGCTGTAAAATTTCCAGAATGCTTTTGTAAATATAGACTGTTCAGTCCATGTTCAATTTTTTTCTTTTTTCATAACACCCGCCATATCCCAGCAAGGCGGGGTAATTTAAAAAGAAAAATGAACGTTTCTCTTTTTAAATTTAGTAATTACCCCCCAAAACTTATGCACAAATATATATGATGTAGTTACTGCATGCACATTACATCCAGGCTCTCATTTTTTTTTTAACCTTTATTATGCTAAGGAATATAAGCTGAGGGTATGTAAACTGATGGAAGTCTCTGTCATGGACAGGTGCTGATCCTGTAAACCCAGAATGTGCATGTCATTTATTTTCACAGAATGAAAGTTTAACTGAATTGATGTATGGAATACTAGACAGAATACACAACGTACTGCATTCATATTATATTTAGCTTCCTCTCATTGTATTACAGGTTGGACATCATTCCGGCAATCAGTAATCAGGCACTAATTTCGGCTAGCATAATTTCAAATTTCCAGGGTCACCACACCAACCTGCTGTTACTGTTTGGTGGCACTACTTGCTGCATAAGTCATTCCAATTTCTTTTTTCTCCAATTATTGTTATAGCCTTCTCACTTTTAGCCCTAGTCATGGTTCCAACAAATAAAACAAATTCTTCTCGTCGCGTGAAGCTCATACACCATACATTATCCATACAAGATAAGGTGGCTTTGAAGCCACTGTCGGTCGCCATGAGCTCGGCTCGCTCAGATAAGCTGTGACCGGTAAAGTTAAGCCTACATATGAGAGAATAGGTGTGTGTGGTAAGTGTACACTACATAAAAAATCCTGCAGCACACAGTACATAATGGGAAAAAACTTCGACTGTGTTTTTGGTGTAAAGCAGTGACTTTACGGTGTATTTTTGTGTGGTTTTTATGGTCGTACACTTACCACACACACCTATTCTCTCATATATAGGCTTAACTTTACCGGTCACAGCATTTATGGATTTAGAAAAGGCATATGATAGAGTGGATAGAGGAGCAATGTGGCAGATGTTGCAAGTATATGGAATAGGTGGTAAGTTATTAAATGCTGTAAAGAGTTTTTATGAGGATAGTGAGGCTCAGGTTAGGGTGTGTAGAAGAGAGGGAGACTACTTCCCGGTAAAAGTAGGTCTTAGACAGGGATGTGTAATGTCACCATGGTTGTTTAATATATTTATAGATGGGGTTGTAAAGGAAGTAAATGCTAGGGTGTTTGGGAGAGGGGTGGGATTAAATTATGGGGAATCAAATTCAAAATGGGAATTGACACAGTTACTTTTTGCTGATGATACTGTGCTTATGGGAGATTCTAAAGAAAAATTGCAAAGGTTAGTGGATGAGTTTGGGAATGTGTGTAAAGGTAAAAGTTGAAAGTGAACATAGAAAAGAGTAAGGTGATGAGGGTGTCAAATGATTTAGATAAAGAAAAATTGGATATCAAATTGGGGAGGAGGAGTATGGAAGAAGTGAATGTTTTCAGATACTTGGGAGTTGACGTGTCGGCGGATGGATTTATGAAGGATGAGGTTAATCATAGAATTGATGAGGGAAAAAAAGGTGAGTGGTGCGTTGAGGTATATGTGGAGTCAAAAAAACGTTATCTATGGAGGCAAAGAAGGGAATGTATGAAAGTATAGTAGTACCCAAAACTCTTATATGGGTGTGAAGCTTGGGTGGTAAATGCAGCAGCGAGGAGACGGTTGGAGGCAGTGGGGATGTCCTGTTTAAGGGCAATGTGTGGTGTAAATATTATGCAGAAAATTCGGAGTGTGGAAATTAGGAGAAGGTGTGGAGTTAATAAAAGTATTAGTCAGAGGGCAGAAGAGGGGTTGTTGAGGTGGTTTGGTCATTTAGAGAGAATGGATCAAAGTAGAATGACATGGAAAGCATATAAATCTATAGGGGAAGGAAGGCGGGGTAGGGGTCGTCCTCGAAAGGGTTGGAGAGAGGGGGTAAAGGAGGTTTTGTGGGTAAGGGGCTTGGACTTCCAGCAAGCGTGCGTGAGCGTGTTAGATAGGAGTGAATGGAGACGAATGGTACTTGGGACCTGACGATCTGTTGGAGTGTGAGCAGGGTAATATTTAGTGAAGGGATTCAGGGAAACCGGTTATTTTCATATAGTCGGACTTGAGTCCTGGAAATGGGAAGTACAATGCCTGCACTTTAAAGGAGGGGTTTGGGATATTGGCAGTTTGGAGGGATATGTTGTGTATCTTTATATGTGTATGCTTCTAGACTGTTGTATTCTGAGCACCTCTGCAAAAACAGTGATAATGTGCGAGTGTGGTGAAAGTGTTGAATGATGATGAAAGTATTTTCTTTTTGGGGATTTTCTTTCTTTTTTGGGTCACCCTGCCTCGGTGGGAGACGGCCGACTTGTTGAAAAAAAAAATTCTCTTTTTTTTTTTTTTGGTCTTATTTGATAGAATGAAGATATATTACAGAAATAGATATGATTTTGATTGGTTTCACAATGGAAAGTACCTTGAAATTGAGCTCAAAGTAGCAGACATGATCGATTTTTGCCGATGTTCAAGAGTAAACAAATGATGTCACTGTCCAATCTGTGTCCAACTGACCAGTCTAATATGCAGTCATGAATGGGTTGTCATTATTTATATAATTACAGTATTACGATAATGCAGTAGTCTACATAACAGTATAAATCTTCTATTTTTTGTTTATAAAAATTTAAAATGGAAAGCAAGTGTAACATAAGAAGGGCCTGGAGACGTGACTAATGAACACAGAAATTTTTATTTTAGTGCCATGAATGTCTACATTGTTTATTCTGGACCCTATTGTGAAATTGGCATCTCTTGAAATTTGTGTGAAATTGGCCAAATTACCAATTTCTGACCACTTTGTTGGGTAGTTGAAATGTTTTGTTGAAGTGTTTTGCCGACTTTTACCGGGCTTCTTAGGTCAAGTACAGCGGCAGCAGGTGTAGTAGTGAAATGAAAATGATGTAATCAGTCCATCAACCTGGAAAAATAGTATTTGAGGTGGTCAGTCCCTCAACCTGGAGAAGAGTTCAGCTTTATATTGTTCCAAACCATGGAGCTGAACTCTTCTCCAGGCTGAGGGACTCACCACCTTGTTCCAGACCATGGAGCTGAACTCTTCTCTAGGCTGAGGGACTCACCACCTTGTTCCAGACCATGGAGCTGAACTCTTCTCCAGGCTGAGGGACTGACCACTTCAAATACTATTTTTCCAGGTTGATAGACCGATTACATCATCATCATTTCACTACTACACCTGCTGTATTTAACTGAAAAAACCTACTGTGTAGGTGAAACATGTCAGCAGTAAGGATACCCAACTGTTGCACTTGTGTCTTAGTCATCAACTTGTTGGTATTTTATACCATTTTCAACATAACTGATTTAATCTAGTGTATTTTCTCTTTGCAGGAGGGATTTATCTTTCACTAAGACACAGCATCTTTATAACCCTTGGAATGAGGGCAAACCAGTTAAGATTGGCAGAGATGGTCAGGTATGGACATGAAAGTAGTCACAAGCTGTTGTCATAGCATTAATATATTCTCTATTATTTACAATAGTTTGTTATGCCCTTAGTACACATTTGGATTAAATGCCATTATCTTATTTAATAAAAACTGTTAATGTATTTTAAAATGCAATGCATATATAAGTAAAACGAAGTTGTAAAAATTTTTGGCTTGGTCTGTTTGGTAAGTAAAATTTCCAGCATGTTTAATACTTGTTTTGATTCCACTTAACCCTTAAGTGCAACTTTTATCCTGCAGGAGTTAAAAATAAAATACAATATAGATGGAGTTAAAGCACTTCATCTCATTGTTGAAAGCTCAAGATTCCACTTTCTAGTATAGTGAGAACTTGAAGCAAAGGTTTTAAAAGCTTTTACAGAATTAAAGGGGGGGGGGACATTATCTGGTGTTTCTGGAACATACGGGTGCTCCTTACCTTTGATATATCTTTGAAGAGTTTCAAGAGTTTCACTACTCTTGGAGCCTGGCTGTGGGCCAGGCTCGTTTGGTGCTTGCCTGGTCAACCAGGCTGTTGCTGCCTCACATATCCATCACAGCCTGGTTGATTTGGCACCTAATGAAGATACTTGTCCAGTTTCCTCTTGAATGCTTCTACACTCACAATGGTTCAACTTATGATGTTATAACTTTACAATAGTGCAAAAGCAATTACAGTGGACCCCCGGTTTACGATATTATTTCATTCCAGAAGTGTGTTCAGGTGCCAGTACTGACCGAATTTGTTCCCATAAGGAATATTGTGAATTAGATTAGTCCATTTCAGACCCCCAAACATACACATACAAACGCACTTACATAAATACACTTACATAATTGGTCGCATTGGGAGCTGATCGTAAACCGGGCGTCCACTGTACTTTGAAGATGAACCTTAATTACCCAGCATGAAGGCAGCAAGTCCCTAACTTGTATTCATTTATTTGTTTTCAACACTGGTATTTAGCTATAGTAATTATAAAGAATCACACACAAAGTGGGAGTTGTCACAGCTGCTCTTTGCTGATGACACTGTGCTCTTGGGAGATTCTGAAGAGAAGTTGCAGAGATTGGTGGATGAATTTGGTAGGGTGTGCAAAAGAAGAAAATTAAAGGTGAATACAGGAAAGAGTAAGGTTATGAGGATAACAAAAAGATTAGGTGATGAAAGATTGAATATCAGATTGGAGGGAGAGAGTATGGAGGAGGTGAACGTATTCAGATATTTGGGAGTGGACGTGTCACGGATGGGGCTATGAAGATGAGGTGAATCATAGAATTGATGAGGGAAAAAGAGTGAGTGGTGCACTTAGGAGTCTGTGGAGACAAAGAACTTTGTCCTTGGAGGCAAAGAGGGGAATGTATGAGAGTATAGTTTTACCAACGCTCTTATATGGGTGTGAAGCGTGGGTGATGAATGTTGCAGCGAGGAGAAGGCTGGAGGCAGTGGAGATGTCATGTCTGAGGGCAATGTGTGGTTGTGAATATAATGCAGAGAATTCGTAGTTTGGAAGTTAGGAGGAGGTGCGGGATTACCAAAACTGTTGTCCAGAGGGCTGAGGAAGGGTTGTTGAGGTGGTTCGGACATGTAGAGAGAATGGAGCGAAACAGAATGACTTCAAGAGTGTATCAGTCTGTAGTGGAAGGAAGGCGGGTAGGGGTCGGCCTAGGAAGGGTTGGAGGGAGGGGTAAAGGAGGTTTTGTGTGCGAGGGGCTTGGACTTCCAGCAGGCATGCTTGAGCGTGTTTGATAGGAGTGAATGGAGACAAATGGTTTTTAATACTTGACGTGCTGTTGGAGTGTGAGCAAAGTAACATTTATGAAGGGATTCAGGGAAACCGGCAGGCCGGACTTGAGTCCTGGAGATGGGAAGTACAGTGCCTGCACTCTGAAGGAGGGGTGTTAATGTTGCAGTTTAAAAACTGTAGTGTAAAGCACCCTTCTGGCAAGACAGTGATGGAGTGAATGATGGTGAAAGTTTTTCTTTTTCGGGCCACCCTGCCTTGGTGGGAATCGGCCGGTGTGATAATAAAAAAAAAAAAAAAAATTATTTGTTTATTTACTTATTCATTGACATTTATTTAGCATATACAGTGGACCCCCGGTTAACGAACTTTTTTCATTCCAGTAGTATGTTCAGGTGCCAGTACTGACCGAATTTTTTCCCATAAGGAATATTGTGAAGTAGATTAGTCCATTTCAGACCCCCAAACATACACGTACAAACGCACTTACATAAATACACTTACATAATTGGTCCCATTTGGAGGTGATCGTTATGCGGGGGTCCACTGTATTTATATTCAACTTGCGATATTTTCAACTTACAGTGGGTTCATCAGAACATAACCTCAGTGTAAGTCGAACACCTGTACATGATCATGGTGTCACTTTTGTTGACTACTGTTGTACATGTAAAAATGTCCTTAAATGTGAATGACCATTAATGGAAAAGTCTTTTTCTTGGGAAGCAAGAATATACAGTATACAGGTGGTCCTCGACTTACAGTGGAGTTATGTTCCGACAAACCCATCATAAGTTGAAAATATCGTACAGTGGTACCCCGAGTTCGGCCATAATTCGTTCCAGAAGGCTGTTCGAGTGCCGTTGCCGAACAAATTTGTTCCCATAAGGAATAATGTAAATTAGATTAGTCTGTTTCAGACCCCCAAAAATACACTTACAAAAGCACTTACAAAAATACTTAAATAATTGTTCAAGTTGGGAGCTGTACAAAACTCAGGGTACCACTGTAATTCAAATATAAATACAGTATGCTAAATAAGTAAGTAAATGAATAACTATTGTCACTGGATAAGTAAATTAACAAATAATTATTGTAACTACTAAATGCCAGTATTGAAAAGTAATTAATGAATACAAGTTAGCCAAACTTGAGTCCTGAGGTAGGAGATACAGTTTGGGGTATTTACTGTTTAGAGTGACATCTAAACTGTCATATCTGCACACCTCTGGAAAGACAGTGATAGTGTGAATGATGGTGAAAGTGCTTCTTTTCTGGGTCACCCTGCCTCGGTGGGAGACGGCTAGCGTGTTAAAAAAAAAAAAGAAAATTATGGACTTGCTGCCTTCATGCTGGGTAATTTCATCTCCAAAGTAATGGCTTTTACACTATCATAAAGTCGAAATACCACAAGTTGAACCATGGTGAGTCGAGGAGTCACTACATACTGTATGTGTAATTACTTATTTGTAGCTACAGGAGTGAAGCTAAGCATATGATATCCAGTTGTCAGTATTTGTAGCTACAGGAGTGAAGCTAAGCATATGATATCCAGTTGTCAGTATTTGTAGCTACAGGAGTGAAGCTAAGCATATGATATCCAGTTGTCAGTATTTGTAGCTACAGGAGTGAAGCTAAGCATATGATATCCAGTTGTCAGTATTTTTAGCTACAGGAGTGAAGCTAAGCATATGATATCCAGTTGTCAGTATTTGTAGCTACAGGAGTGAAGCTAAGCATATGATATCCAGTTGTCAGTATTTGTAGCTACAGGAGTGAAGCTAAGCATATGATATCCAGTTGTCAGTATTTGTAGCTACAGGAGTGAAGCTAAGCATATGATATCCAGTTGTCAGTATTTGTAGCTACAGGAGTGAAGCTAAGCATATGATATCCAGTTGTCAGTATTTGTAGCTACAGGAGTGAAGCTAAGCATATGATATCCAGTTGTCAGTATTTGTAGCTACAGGAGTGAAGCTAAGCATATGATATCCAGTTGTCAGTATTTGTAGCTACAGGAGTGAAGCTAAGCATATGATATCCAGTTGTCAGTATTTGTAGCTACAGGAGTGAAGCTAAGCATATGATATCCAGTTGTCAGTATTTGTAGCTACAGGAGTGAAGCTAAGCATATGATATCCAGTTGTCAGTATTTGTAGCTACAGGAGAAGAGCTAAACTCATGGTTTCCTATTTTGATTTGTAGCTACAGCATTAGTTATGCTCAAGGTGTCCAATTTTCAATATTTGTAGCTAGGTTCATGCTGTCTTCAGGAGACACCATGTCATTGCAGCACTTAATACATCCTTGTGTAACACATTATACCACTAAAAAAATTTCTAACATTTTTTTTGCATCTCATCATTGGTTTAATTGCTATGGCTTTTTGATTGTTTCTTCCTGTTGTTGGTGTAAAAGCTTCCTTATCTGTTCTTTCACATCCTTTTATTAGCTTATGTATGGTTCCCATGTCTCCTCTTTTTGTCCTATTGGCTTTGAGAGTTAAATTAGATGAACTTTTCCCGTGATTAATAAAATTTTTTAATAATACAGCATATAATAATATAATAATTCTAAACTGTCGTGTCTGGGCGCCTCTGCAAAGATGGTGATTATGCATGATTGAGGTGAAGGTGTTGAATGATGATGAAAGTATTTCTTTTTGGGGATTTTCTTTCTTTTTGGATCACCCTGCCTCGGTGGGAGATGGCTGACTTGTTGAAAAAAAAAATAATTTGGGATTTTATAATTACACCAGAATCATATTACACCAGAATCATAATATTACACTGGAATCGTAATATTACAAAAGATCCATACACTAGTACAGTGGACCCCCGGTTAACGAACTTTTTTCATTCCAGTAGTATGTTCAGGTGCCAGTACTGACCGAATTTTTTCCCATAAGGAATATTGTGAAGTAGATTAGTCCATTTCAGACCCCCAAACATACACGTACAAACGCACTTACATAAATACACTTACATAATTGGTCGCATTTGGAGGTGATCGTTAAGCAGGGGTCCACTGTACTTTTAAAAATGGAATATTAAGGAAGATTGATAAGTTATGTAAGATTTGTCAGGAAACAGGACACATGTTTTCTGATATGGGTTTTAGTCCTATGATGACCTGCCACTGGAGTTTTTGGTCATCCGGTTGAGGCCTTCTGCTGGTTTACCGGTCCACTCCTTTAAAAATTAAGGTTATAACCATTTTTAACACCCCTCAGAGCTAAACATGAAAGTGATCCACAACCACTGCTTTTACCCCATATGACAAATGCATTGTAATATACAACACTCTACTTGGAATCTTCTATCATCAAAGTGACCGACCCTTCAAGGAAGGTTCCTTGATGTTGGTGAGGGGCTCTTGATTTAGGGAATTGGATCTGTGCTCCAGTTCCCCGAATTAAGCCTGAATGCCTTCCACATCCCCCCCCCCAGGCGCTGTATAATCCTCCGGGTTTAGTGCTTCCCCTTGATTATAATAATAATAATCAAAGTGACCGTATCTCACTGATGCAGGGTGCCCCCCCCCCAAAAAAAAAAAAGTTTACCCCTTTTAACTTTAGTAATGTATACAAGAGAAAGGGTTACTAGCCCCTTGCTCCTGGCATTTTAGTTGCTTTTTATGACACACATGGCTTATGGAGGAAGAATTCTGTTCCACTTCCCCATGGAGATAGGAAATAAGCAAGAACAGGAATTTGTAAGAAAATAGAAGAAAACCCAGAGGGGTGTATGTATGTACATATATGCTTTTACATGCATGTGTAATGTGACTTAAGTGTAAGAAGCAGCAAGATGTACCTGAAATCTTGCAATTTTTGTTTTTCAACAAGTAGGCCGTCTCCCACTGAGGCAGGGTGACCCAAAAAGAAAGAAAATACCCAAAAAGAAAATACTTTCATCATTCAACACTTTCACCTCACTCGTACATAATCACTGTCTTTACAGAGGCGCCCAGATATGACAGTTTAGAAGCATATATAAAGATATATATAACATATCCCTCCAAACTGCCAATATCCCAAACCCCTCCTTTAAAGTGCAGGCATTGTACTTCCCATGTTTATGAGATGGAAAAAAGACACCAGGAATCCTACCTTCATGTAAAACAGTTGCAGGCTTCCATTTTACACTCGCTTGGCAGGACAGTAGTACTTCCCTGGGCGGTTACTGTCTACCAACCTACTACCTAGGACCAACCTACTTCCTAGGCTCTACTTGGAATATAATAACATTAAAAATAATTAAATTTTTATGGTTTCTTGTTTTGCCTTGTATCCCAATCCTTCTGGATAGACTTATGCTAGAAGTTTGTAGAAAATGTTTATGTTGTTCATTGTAATAATGTGTATTTCATTTTGAATATAAAATACTGTCTTGTTGCATTGTAATTTCTCATAATGTACTCTCCTGTTTTTTTTTGTATGATTTAAGAAGCCATGTTCTGTGACGAATTCCAAAAATTCCTTACTATGGTGTGTAAACCACTTAAATTACACATGCATACTTATTTTTGTTTATTTACAGTGCTAAAGGAAATGTCTGTGTATGGTGTAAATATTTTTATTTATGATATAATGATATTTTTAAATCTAAATATATATTATTCAATGCCTGAAAATATAGGTACAAATGTCCTCTAAAATTTTTCAGGAAATTGAACCACGCGTTGCAGAGGAGCTGTGTCGGTTGTTTCCTAAGGATGAAGGAATTAATCTCACCCCCGTTTTGCACAAGAGTAAGCGTGCAGCCCGGGTGGCCCGTGCTAGGGGTCCACTTCGTCGGCCACTACAGTCAACGGGAGACCGGCGTGGCCGTCCCAGAGAACGTGGAAGCTTCAGAGGTCGGGGTGACATTGGCTTCAGGTGCGTCACTACCGCGAGGGTTGAGTCTCGATATGGAGAAGCCTGCATTTTGCTGATGCTGCCACTGCTACTGAATGTATCTCCTCAGTTCATGCCACAACCAGAACTGCAGTTTTCACCACTTTATATACCACAGTTATTTCACTTAATTAATTGGTGGTTAAAGCATACAACACCAGATTGACACAAACATCCACTTAATACAGTCATGGTAGATAATGGATATCATGCAAGTTATTAAACAGATAATTCACAACACAACATTACAGCTGCTGTCAGTTCCTGCGAGGATGCATTGCTGAGTGAGACAACAGAAAACCAGTTTTCAAATTAGTAACAGTGGCAGTGGGCAAGTCGGGTTTGGTCTCCGGCTCCATCAATGCAGTAAAGGACTCGCTTTCTGTTGGTGAGTGGCGGAGTGCCGCATCCGCTACTACTCACTCACTCAGTGTCTTGTTACCGCTCTGTCTCTCACCCCGGTGCTGAGGACCCTTTATCCTCTCACAGGACTCTGTCCCTTTCTCTCTCACACAACCTGGCTAGTGAGTGACACACAAACATACCAGTGCAGTGCGTACCTCTTAATAATTGTTGTATAACTACAGTCATAAAGAACTTTGTTACTTGGTTCTAAAGAGCAGGCATAGACTAGGAATTTCCTTTTGATGATTAGAACTTAAAATGTAGACAAGTGCGTATATAATAAAGCTGGTAAAAAGTTAACACCCTGTGGACTTGTCCATCAAATATATCTTGAGGGGACTTCCATCCAAATAGTAGTATAACGAACGTTGTGAAAGTAGTGAATGGTTGGCTCTAGTCCACATACCAGCAGTAGGTGACACTCACTAGCAGGTTGGCACAGAGCCAGGCCCAACCATATGGACTCGGCTTAGCTGTAAGGTATTGGTTATAAACTTGTTGGTAAGGTAGTATCTTGCATGGACTCTCTCAAGCATTCAGGACTAAGTGTGTTGGAGATATGATAAAGCTTACACCAGAGATTTTAGGTGGCAGTAGCCCAGTGCTAAATATTTGATCTAAAAAAAAAAAAAAAAAAAAAAGAGTATTTGCCTGGCTAATGAAATAGTGATGGGATATTAGTGAGAGTGAGAAGTGATTAGTGGAAATGAAAGTGAATCAAAATGAAATTACATGTGAATAGTGGTGCATTGCGTTGCGTCCAAGACCACAAGAGGGCAAAACCCTGCCATCCGTACTTATCCTCACCCAATGTCAACACAACACTTCTTCATCACATGGTGAGTACAGTACAACAATTTAAAAATAAAAAATATATATACATTTATATATATATATAAAATATACTATAATATATATAATATATATATTATACATATTTATATATCTAGTTTCATATATGACACATTACCATGTTTAATAATTTCAACTACTTGTTTATATCCTATTTGAACTATAAATAATATAATTTTCTTGCCCAGTCCTTAGATGATAGGTGCTCAAATTATATGGAAGAATCAATTGTTAATATGTATGAACACATTTTTTTATGAATTCTTTCTTAAATTCAATAACTACTTGAAATATTTTAAAGAACTGTTACAAAAGAGATTTGAATTATCTCACTTTAAAAATAATTGAGTTCTGCTGATTAAGAAAAAATATTTGCCACTCAAGATGCCCTATTACAAATATTTTTTTGCTCAATTAACTTAGAAGTGACAAGAAGTGCTTATAATAATTTGAAGTTTGCCTTATTACAGTCAAGTACAGTAGCATTTGAAATTTTCAAAATAGAATGTGATTTCCATGCTTATATAGAGTACTGAGTTTTGACATTGTGGCTCATTGAGGGGTTGAAATGTTAGGAAGAACTAGGAAGAACCTAAATATTTACAATAGCATGTAGAGAAAGCTTTACTACTTAGTGACACACTCATATTAATGAATTAATTATATTTTTCTAAAAGAAATAAGAATGTGAATAAGACTAGGTCCCCAAGCTACACAGTTTCCGTAACAAAAGAAATGGCAGGAAGTGTCGAATAAGCCTAAAGAAAAGCAGAGGTACCATATGCGCAGTTAGTGAACACTGTATTGTCATTTGTGGTCATAAACTCTTAACTCTTGAACTGTCCAAACGTAGATCTACATTCACGTGCGTAGCACTCCGACCTTATTTTTTTACATTTGAGAGCATGTAAAAAAACATAGTTCTACGTTTGGACACTACACACGTGAACATAGATCTACATTTGGACAATTTAAGGGTTAAACATTCTACCAGCAGTAAAAGAAATATTATCAGAATAAAGATTTAGAAATTTTCAAATAAAAAAATCTGGACTCTTGGGATATATACCCTTTACCAGGCCTGGTAAAGGGTAATCACCCCTTTACCAAGAGTGGAAAAGGGTAATCACCCCTTTACCAAGAGTGGAAAAGGATAATCATCCCTTTACCAAGAGTGGAAAAGGGTAATTACCCCTCTCCAGGCCTGGTAAAGGTTAATTAACCCATAAATGCTCCAAGCAGATCTACGTTCACATGTGTAGTGCTACAAAAGTAGATCTACGTGTTTTTACATATTTTCAAATATATATAAAAAAAAAAAAGATCAAATTTTTTTTTAAACATTTTCAAATGTAAAAAAACAAAAAGAAAATCTACTTTTTTTACATTCAAATGTTGAAAAAACGTATATATACGTTTGGACCGTTTACGGGTTAAGTTCCAGATCAGCCAGTTGCAATGGCCGGGAAAATGATATATACCCATTATTGGGACAGTCATCTTGGGGGTTCTGAGAATACTGCAAAATGCTTAATGTTGTCTTGGAATCTTGTATCAGGGATCATTAAGTACAGTGGAACCTCAAATACTGAACTTTCTTCAGTCCAGAAGGCTGTTCGAGCGCCTTTACTGAATGAATTTATTCCCATCAGGAATAATGTAAATTAGATTAGTCCATTTCAGACCCTCAAAAATACACTTATAAAAGCACTTACAAAAATACACTTACATAATTGGTCGTGTTGGGAGCAGTTCAATTTTTGAGGTTCCACTGTATAATAAATCTGCAAAAAAAAAAAAAAAAGTGGACTTCCAAGGGTGTGGGCAGTAACAGCCTGGTTAATTAGTTGGTTAACAAGAGGAATCTGGTTGCAGACCAGGGTGGAGGGGGTAGTACTTGCAAAACTAGTAACAGGTATGTTACCTGAAATGCATACTTAGGAGAGCAGTGACAATGGAGAGTGAAATATAAAAAGAGAGTAAAAATTTATTCAAAAGGGCTGTAGTTTTAAAAATAATACTATAGTATGTTATAAAAGGGAATGTATCAGGGTAAAATGGTACCAACATTCTTATATGAGTATGAAGCATGGGTTTTAAACGTTGCAGTGAGGAAGAGGTGGAGGTAGTGATGTCTGAGGGCAATGTGTGGTGTGAATATATTGCAGAGAATCTGTAGTCCCCAGGATGTGACCCACACTAGTTGACTAACACCCAGGTACCTATTTTACTGCTAGGTAATCAAGGACAGCAGGTGTCTTAGGGAAACATGTTCTAATGCTTCCACCCGTACTGGGGATCGATCCACAGACCTCAGTGTGAGCCGAGTGCGCTAGCAATCGAGCTAGAGATCTTCCTAGGAAAGGTTGGAGGGAGAGGGTAAAGGAAGTTTTATATGTGAGGGGCTTTGACATTCAGTAGGCGTGTGTGAGCTTGTTAGATAGAAGTGAGTGGATTATTATTATTATAATCAAGGGGGAAGCGCTAAACCCGGAGGATTATACAGCACCTGGGGGGGATGTGGAAGGCATTCAGCTTAATTCAGGGAACTGGAGCACAGATCCAATTCCCTAAATCAAGAGCCCCTCACCAACATCAAGGAACCTTCCTTGAGGGGATAGAAGTGAGTGGAGGCAGGTGGTTTTTATGTCAAAGTGCTGTTGGAGTGTGAGCAAGGTAACATGAAGGAATTCAAGGAAGCTGGTTACCAAACCCGAGTCCTGGAGGTGGGAAGTACAGTGCCTGCACTGTGAAGGAAGGGTGGAGATATTGCAGTCTAGAGGGGCATCTGAGCTGTAATGTCAGCTTGCCTCTGGCAGGATGATAATGGAGTGATTGGTAAGTGTTTCTTCTTTTTTTTGGGTCGCCCTACCTAAGTGGGAGACAGCTAGTGCTAAAAACGAATGTATTTTATAAAATTACTTTTACAGTCCAAGAACAGCCTCTTCTCACTTAGCGACATACTCATTTACCAACGCCTCGGACTTATGACGGGCTCTCTGACCAGTATTCATACCTCAGTAATCTATATTAGAGCTGATTTCCTCTGTTCTGTTTATTTCAATATACAGTACACCACTGTATAAACATTTAAAAATATACCAGAAAAGTTATAAATGGTGCAAAGGTGACATTAAAACAACAGAGATGGTTGACACAAACTCACTACCATTGTAGTATGCCTCTCACTTAGCGACGAATTCATTTACCGACGTGGTCTCAGGAACAGAACTCTGTCGTTAAGTGAGGAGAGGCTGTACTGTATGTAATAATTTCAGGACTCGCCAGACGTTTCAAAAAAATATTTTGTAGTGTTGTAGATAAGACGTATAGGTTTCTTTCACTTTTTGCTGGATTGCTTTATGAAAATCATTATGTAATTTCCCATTTCTATCGGTAATTCTGTATGTGGGGTATATGTTAATTGTCTTTGAGCAGAAAAATGGTAAAACTTATTGACAATCCTAATTAGCATTATATACCTTTACCTTTGATGAGTTTTGAGAGTTTTTCTACTCTCGGAGTCATAGACTAGGCTCTTCTGGTGCTTTCCTGGTCAACCAAGCTGTTGCTGCTGGTCTGCTGACCCACATTATATTGAAATTTTAATGTGATTCTTGAATAATTCCGGTTAGTGGGGCTTAAGTACATAGACTCAAGTTTTGATGGCTTGATTGAGCTTACCACATGTACTGTATGTAGGAGACTGACATTCATGACAACAT